TCCTCCAYAGGCATCCTTATACCAGATTGACTGTTTCTCAGTTTTGTGCCCCCATCAGAGACAATTTGTGACCTTTAGCCTGTGTAGGATTGTAGGATTGCTATACCCTTTTCGTCACCTCCCAGTCTTTTCCCTGTCTTGTTTGCCTTCATGGAGAACTGCTGGTGAATTGTGGTGGGAGCAGAGCTGACTTAGATGTGTTAGGCCTCCGTCATTAAGAGGACTGTTGCTACCATATAATATTAAATTCCACATTAGAGAGAAGTGTGATGTTGTGTTCACTGTCTAGGATTCAATTCATTGTTTATATCCACTTAAACAAAGAACCAAACCCATGAAAAATGAAAAAGCAAATTAAAAAACCCCTCAATTTTTAACAAGGAAAATGACCTTGCAGTTTTATTTCTTCCTGACAAGCTGTGACATACAGTATTTTGACCATGAAGTCTGTCATCTTTTCATCTGATTTACACAGAACCTTATGAATAAGAAGTTTCTGCTTATTGCAGAGGGTGAGGAATAAAAAAAAAAAAAAGCCAGTGACTGCTTAACAGGCTGCCATAAATACAACTTGCTTGGCATGCCTGTCCCCAAGATGAACTGATTTGTGGTCTGGATTCAAAAGTGTTTTACTGTTCTTTGCCTCTCTGTGGATTCARCTATTTAGATCAGGCTAATTTTCAACTGAAGGAACTGAGGAGCTATTATTCTCCCTGAAGGTTATCTTATTTGTTTAAAAGCTGGGGGCAAACCACTGACTGCTGTATTTTCTTTTTTGAAGACAACAGCCATGGGGRAGGAGAGTTATATCTGGAAAACTCCCACGTACAAAATCCCAAGGTCCTTTCCTGAAATAACAAATACTTTCACAAGTAGTAAAATGAACTTCACCGTGGTTCTCAGAAACTCTCCTCAGCTGTACCAGAGGATAAGCTCATCAGGTTACGCTCCATGGAATTCCAGAGGGTGTATTTCTTGCCATAAAACATGTCAGRGTATGGTCTTTTTTTCAGCCTTTACCTCTGTAACAAAGTTGGTTGCCAACCACTTCTACAAGGGGAAGAAAAGACAGGAGCAGGGGGAAGAAGGCAAGCACTTTGGAAAATGCAGCTACTTTGAGGGCTTGAATGAAAGCTCCTCTGATTTGGACATCTGGACTGTCATGTATGCCATTATGTTTARAATTAGTGGTTGTGAAAGAATTAAGAGAGAAGAAAATGAGAGATTAGTTCAGATAAATAAAATATASAGCAAGCTGCTTCCTAATCAGTTCAGACTTTCTACAGGGAATTGCCTCACCAAAAAAAAGATGTCTTCCAGATTCCTTCCCACTCATCTTCCTTATGAGATAGTTTTTTCTTCCCTAGTACAAGGGTGTGTTTGTGGCTCCTGCCATCTAGAATATCCTCCTCCTGTGTATGGCCTAAATGGACTTTTTGCCTCATGACTTAACACCTGCTTTTATTCATTGTGAAATGATTTTATATGCTTTTTAGTAAATGTGACAGGCAGTGCATTATGCACTGTCGTGTTTTATTTACTCCATAAAGCATTATGGAATACAGTTAGAATGTGACACTTAGGACATTGTGTAATGCTGCATTGTGTTGTGTTGCTACATGGGACAGTTCAGTGCTTTGAAAGATGCTCTGTCTTTTCCTTTGCCTGTATTTTTACTTAAGTGTTTTTTATYCTGACTTTCCCCTTGTCTAATGTGTGATTTCCATGAGTTCCCTCAGTGTATCTGATACGGACAGTGCTTGTCTGCTTGGAAAGGTCTTATTTTAGTCTCATAACTTCATTGATGCAAGAAGTACGGGAGTTGCTCACATCTCCTTAAGCTGTTTCCCAGATGCTTGATGATTCATGAGGAGCCAACCTCCTGAGAACGAGTCGGGGTTGAATGTGTTCTGTCTAAGCCTGTTAGCACTGTGAAATCCCAGTGAAAATCCCCTTAGAAAATTCTAGCCTGTTTGATTGCAGTGCTAGCTACACCACTTCAGGTTGTAATTTAGTGCATGGTGAGGGAGATGAGAGGGAATCAGGCTGTCTCAGAGCTCCTGAAGAGACTGCTCCAGCATCAGGTGAAGGCTCCGAGTAGTTTTAGTTTGGATCTCATGTGAGCTATAGAAACAATTTATGGCCAKTCTCATCAAACATACTTCCTTCCTTTGTGGAAAGGGCTTTTCCTCAGAGTGCAATRTTTGAGTATCTCTTATTTTACTATAGTGAGAATTCTCTCCCCGTRCTTCTCTCCAGCCTTTCCTCTGCAGTGACTTTATAATTGCTGCATTAGCCTTAATAGAAATAACRAGTCGCTTTCATTTTAAAGCTTCATAACATGAGCAGCTCTATGGCTCCATGCCCCTGTTCAGCTGGGATACTGCAGAGCTGTGCCTGCCATGACATTTCAGCAGTGGTCTGGGTCAGTGTGACTGACCTGAAGGCAGAGCACCRTGGTCTATGGGATTCAGGGTTGAAGTTAAACAGAAAGCCCTGACAGACCCTTTTCTTGGCATACAAGGGCATAGGTAGTGTTCATTTGCAGGTGTGCTGTGTAAAGTGCCACAGATGTTTCATTTTGGGGGGGATATATGTAGGAGTGCATTTAAGAGATACTGTCCCCAGAATTCGAATTTCATCAGCTGGCAGCTCCAGATTAAAGCCTGTGATAGGACTGCCTGGGAAAATGAAACCTTCACCTCAAAATCACGAACCAGATTGAACCACACAGTGAAATGCATGGTGMCAGAGGGAAAATGGCAATAGTTTGCTGTCCAAGAAAGAGGAGTGAAGARCTCTGAGGCACAGGATGAGTTTTGCCACATTTTACTGCAGTGACTTTTGTTCTGATTTAGAGATTGGTTGTGTCACTAGAATTTGTTATCATCAAATCTGTTTTCTTTTTATTCCCTTTCTTGGATGTTTTGGATATAGTCCTTGAAATATCTTGTCCTCTTGGTGTACTGGGTGTTTTCAGAGTCCAAAGGTCCTCAGCATTTCAGTAAGAACTCTGTAGTGTTGGCTGGACATTTTGTTTCATTCCATATTAGGGGAAAAAAAAAACCCCGCAGACATCTTTTTTCCCCTCTCTTTTTTAGAATAAAAGCAAATACAARACAGACTTTAGCATAGATGTCCCTGATGAAAACTGCAACAAAGCTGATAGGCRGGTGGTCTCTATTTTTACCAAATTGGTGTTTTTCCAATGTAAATTGTTTGGTCAAAACAGAACAAAACAAAACTGTCTGGTTCTGCACTTTGTGAGCTAGGACTGTGTTTGCTTAGAAAGGGCTACTCAGGGTGTGAAAGCATCTTAGAAAGATATCACAATTAGATCTGAGGAGATAGTTTTATAGGAAACACAGATTTTTGTCTTCTTAGTTTCAGGTTGTTTGCAAGCTGGAATGACTTCCTTCTCGGAAGAGTACAATGAACTGTTGTTATGCAATCATGCTTTGCTTACAACTGTGTGCAGGGAGGTATTTACAGCCAGGAACCACTGAAAAGCAACCTGAAAAAAAGATGTACTAATTGTGAAGTTCCTACCATTTCTCTSGGTTCCTGTTTTCGGTGAGCGTTTACAAAACAAGTATATTTATTTCATATAAAGAGCTTASAAAACTTAAGTCAAACATTAGAACATTACTAATAAACATGAGATTATTACTTATTTTAAGAGTGAAGACTTAGATGAGTATGTGTGACAGATGGCTGCGGCTGGTTGCTTAGGTTTTGTATTTCCAACATTCACAGGGTGGCTTGGGGGAGATATTTTTCCCCCATTTGTTTTTCCTCAGTAGCTAAATTCGGGAGCAGGCAYCAGTTTTCTATTTCCATTGCTTGCAGTGGAGTTGGAGGTTGACCTGGCATTCAGCAGAGTGGAGTGATGGTCAGTTTTAGATAAGAAAACCAGAGTTTGGGTGTTCACATAAAAACAAGTGGCCACATTCATGTGGTAGCTGTCCCACAGATGGAGGCTTGGAGGTGCATGTCTTGATTGGGAATTGAAACCTGCCATGATTTGCTTGTTGCCTTGGAACCTTCTGATCCTCAGAATTTCCCCATACTAACRTTGAAAATGCAGGGAAGAATGGTTGTTGGCAGTTCTTTGATGCAAACTGACCCAAAATCCAGTATCAGAAGCAGCTGGACAATGSAAGTGCATGGTGCAACTGAGAAGATACTTTGACTTTCAGAGAGCTGGGTCTGGCCACAATTTCTTTTATCCTTGGAGCCAGGGACTGACCTCAGCAGAGGCTTTCCCTCAGTATGAGTAAACTTTAGGAACAATTGAATATTTGCTCAGGCAGAGGTGGAATTTTAATGAAGAAAAGATTGACTGTTTGTCTTGAAGTCCTGAGTAAGGTGGTTGGTGGGATGGAACCTGGCCTCAGTTACATCGGTGTAAGCACAGAGTAGCTGTTTGTGTCAATGGACATGGGCAGCAAATGCTTCACACTGTATAAATAAAATCAAAACGTGACCTTACACATGTTTCTGGGAGGAAATACTTAATCACAGCAAACAAACCTAAGTTCACACATGCTCACTTTCCTGCAGTCCTTCATTGCTGTTTTTGTTCAGAGGGCACTGCTCCCCAGAGCGCCAAATTTGGGAAGCAGGGCTGTTTACCTTTTTTATTTCAGTCTGTCTGACTTCATTGTTCTCAAGCTGGCAGCTTTTATTAAAGTTTAATTCTGTTTTAAAAACAAATTGGTAAGAGTGAAATTATATAATCTATATAAATGTAAAAGTAATGATATATTTCTTGTAAAATAAAGGTTCTATATATTTGAGTTCTGTTGTTCTTACTGTTTATGGGGGATTGAATTAAGAGAAGATATACTGTACTTCCTATTTAATAATAACTGCTCCTAGACCSAAGCTTTTATAGACTTTAAATGCAAATAATTGTGCTGTGCTATAAACTGTTGTGTTTTTTGCCTTCCTGTAACTGGAACAACATACTAATTTCTACAAGTTGTGACTACTAACAGAGAGCAATCACCTCACAGACTTGTACCGAAAAGAAGAGAGCATCAGCGTGGCAGGGAACGGCTGCATCCACAGTCCTCGCTTCCCCAGCAGCTACCCCAGGAACCTCCTGCTGACRTGGCGGCTCCACTCCCCGGAGAGCACCAGGATCCAGCTGGCTTTTGATAATCAGTTTGGACTGGAGGAACCCGAAAATGATATCTGCAGGTGAGTGGCAAGTGGAAGTTTGCCAAGAGCTCCTTAACACCATGTTAGACCTCACTGGTGCGAGGCAAATGAAAACCTGGGCGTCTCTGGCCAGGTCTGGGATGCCCTTGCAAGGAGGACAGACCTTCCAGGGGCCCTCCCAACTGAAATTGATGTTTGAGTTTATAAATTAACTGAGGTTTCCTGGAGCTGAAGCAGTTTTGTCAGGTTTTAGTCTTTCTATACCATTTTAAGCACAAGGTACTTGTGTGCTCAAATCCAGCTATCTAACAGCACAGGTACTACTTTAATAGGATTTTSTCCTGTATCACCTCTGTCATGTTTCATCCAAGCAAAAAACATCTTTTTCCATAGGTGGAGGACTTTAGGAGGTTTGAGTGAGTAAGTGTGTGTTTATATTGGGGTATGAGGGACACACATCTCCCTCATGAGAGGGATAAAAATGCATTGAAAAATACAATTATATTCAAATTATTTGTCTTTATTGTTACTCTCACTGGAACAGTTCATTTTAAAACCTTTAAATATAGGTCCACAAACACATCAGTGTGCTGATGCATGCTGATATATCTATATATCTATTGAAGCATACCCTGCTATATCTCCGTTGCTTTGGTTCCCTTTTTAAGCAAAAGTGACCTTAAGCTCAGCTGATCTGGCTGATTAAGCTAGATGGATAAACTGCTTTCTATTAGTAGARTACAGAGGTGAATCTTGCCAACAATCGCTAAAACAGTGTAAGTCCATCTGTTTATATTTCTTTTATTCAGCTGTCTTTTCTGTGGGAGAAAACAGACTCAGGATTGCCATGCACTCCGAAAGGCAGATAGCTGTGATGCTACTTACACAAAATGCTCGAGTCCCAGCCTCCAACTCTGCCTGATCATGTTGTTACTTACAACTTATCTGTGCAGAGAACTGGGTTGTTAGTTTCTGCACTGATTTCTGCACACCCAGCCTCTTCTTATCTTATCTTCTTTGTCAATTAATTTGTGTTGGCAGGTTTAGCATCTCCGCAGGCGTTTCACAGGGTGGATTTTTTTTGCTTATTTTTCTCTGTTAAATTTTCTGCATTACTGACAGAGGGAACCATTCCTGCAGTTTTGTTTTCCATGCAGTATTAAAAATGCAGCCTAAAACTGGCTCTCCTTCCGTGCTCCTTGGCAGGTCTGCTGTGCTCTGGTGATATTGAGCAGCAGAGTCAGTAACAACAGTAATCTCCCAGTGCCCCAAACACTTTCCCACATTCAGAGCCTGATGCACACAGCAGCAGCCTGTGAATATTTACACTGTGGGTAAACTGTGGCTGACCTTAAAGCATTGCAGTTTTGAAACAGAGGGCTAATTTACTGTGGAAAAAAGAATGAAGTATTCTCTGTCAAAAGCCATTAAAGGTGGTGGCACAGTGAGGGAAAGTCAAGCTGTTACTGGCATTGTGTGCTTGGAGCCTGTCTTGGAAGACAGTCTGCCTGCATTTTCCAGAGCAGCTAATTTAGAATGCAGAGAAAAGCAAAGACTTTCCATCATCCATAGTGTCTACAGAAGCTGGAGAAATATCACATCCTTTTCTGCTATAAAGCTTTCCTTAGAGTTTCTGGAAGACTTTTATTTGTGTAGTACTACTTCCAGAGTGAGGAATTTCTTGGTCAGACAGCTTGTGATAGCTTTAAGTCTGTTAAGTACTGTGTACAGTTAGATTTTTTTGCTAATGCTCAATATATTTTCCAAGACTAGATCCTTTCTGCAACTTCAGTCCCTGACAATCTCTGCAGTGCTGCTTTAGAGAGACAGCCAGGCTGACTGTTTTAATTGAAATGAATGCTGAGAGCTGAACATGTGCTTGAAGGATGGGCATACTGGACTAGTAATTCAGGACCTCTGCACCTTACCTTGCTTTTGTATTTGCTTTTGACCTTATGCTTTTTTATCCAGAAACTTCCTAGTGTTTTCTTTCGATTTTTCATTAATGCTAATTGTTGTAATTTGCATACTATTAAGACTGAACTGATTGAAATTCATTAAGGCTGAGGAATGAAAAGGTGTATTTTAGCAGAGCTATATTTCTTCAGAGCTTCTGAAGAAAGAGACTGAATATTCAAGGTCTTACAGAATGTTCTAGAAACGCTGTTAGCATTTCCACAGGCACTTGATAAGAGATGATTCTGAAAAGCAATTAAATTACCCAGCCTCTGAGGCTCCTTGGATGCGCTGAAATAACTGAGAATACACCTACGTCTGTGATCATTGCAGCAAAGCCTCAGCTGTTGAAAGCAGATATAATGCTTGAATGTCCATAGATTTTTCCCTGGCTTTGCTAGTTTGTCTGGCACCCTCAAAAGTGCGGAGCCAGTCAGGACAGCTTTCAGCAGAGCTTACAAGGTTATCTCCTGCTGAGCATGCAACCCTTCATGTCGCAATAMGCGTTCACGGTTTTGTGCTGCTGGGTGGCAGGGTGGATGCTCAGCTCTGCTGGGTGTCACATCCATCACCACCAGGGAGTGGGAGCTGGGGATGGTGGAGAGAGATTGAGACAAATTTGCCTCTGCCTGGAACTAAATTTTGGTGTGTTACGAAAAAAGAATATTTTGGCAGAGTTTGGGCAGATTTAAATGGTTCAGTCCTAGTGGATCTGTCATTTTCTGTTCTGTGCAATTTGGGGTTGGTGAGTATAAAAGCAGCAGGGCTGACGTTCTCAAACCACATAGTACTTGTGGCTTTTTTCTCATGGGCTCTCAGCAGAAAAAGAAAAGCAGGTCTGTTATTTACAGAGCTATTCAGCTCCCACAACTGGGCAAGGAGGAGCGTGCTTGGCCCACAGACCTGGTGGTAGGGAGCAGTGCATTGCTGGCAAGAATAGCTTAACAATTCTGAGCTCCCTCTTTGGAGGGAGCAGTGCTTTGATAATAGGAAACATTCCTGGTAAAGAGCTCCAGAGCTTTAAGGCTTAACTGTGCTGTGAGGATGGCACTCAACCTGCCCCTCTTGTCATCACCTCTGCCTCGCCGGCTGCAATGTGTGGGGCCGAATTCTGGCCCCTTCGATATTGAGGGACTTTTTGCCATAGATTTAGTTAGATCAGAAATTTATTCCCTGCTCTCTTTATTCTCCAGCTCGATAACTGTGCTCATTTGTTTATTTGTATGGTCATTTATATCCAAGCAAGCAAATACACAGGCTGGAGCAACGAGTGCTGCCACTGTGTCCCTTCATCCCTGGAGTTTAGTGCCTTCTGCTCCTGGCAGAGCSCTCTTTGGGCTCAGGGACCACTGCTGTGGCACTGGTTCCTGGCCAAGATGTGGCTTTTCACAGAACAAGACGTGCTGTTGGATTTTCCCTGGTGACAGCGTGCACACRAACACCCCAGTGCAGCACGCAGAGCTGCAGCAGCTTTTCTGCTTCAGAGCTGGACACAGAGCTTTTCAAACCAACTACAGGAGCAATGTGCCACCTGTGAGGAAGGTCCTAAAAAGCAGCTTTCGGTGGTGTGCACTGCCCTGTGTCCCTCCAGCATGTCCCTTTGCTCCTGGCTGCCCAGCTCTAGCCCTCTGACACAGCAGGCACGAGCCTGTGGCCACTGCTGCAGGGAGTTGGGCGACCACCAGAAAGTGCACAAGTGCTTGCAGCTGCTCAGGTTGGGCAGCCTGCCTTAAATAATATTTTATCAGGTCTCTAAATTATTTACCCACCACATGAAACTCAGTGCGTATGCTTACTGTATACTAAGCACATGCAAGTGCCTCTTACTGCAGTTTTAACGTGGTAGCAAATACTGTCATGTTCCAGGAGCACAGAAATCAGTCACTTGAGCACTCAGGCAGTAGCTTGCAGCTTAGTGCATTTTGTGGCATGCAAGCATATCCACCATTTGTAATATTTAGTGGGATGTTYTGGAGCGGAGAATGGGTGACAGTTGTCTTTGTGTCTCCAGCTGTGCTCCTGTCAATTTGAAACCGCCCTCTGTAACCAAAATTAGCAAAATCTAATTCTTCACACTGTTTTTCAGGTATGACTTTGTGGAAGTGGAAGATGTATCAGAGACTAGCACGGTTATTAGAGGACGGTGGTGCGGGCACAAGGAAGTACCTCCAAGAATAACATCAAGAACAAATCACATAAAGATAACCTTCAAATCTGATGACTACTTTGTGGCTAAACCTGGATTCAAGATATGTTACTCCCTTGTGGTAAGTCACCTAGGGCTAACAGGGGTGAGAGGCAGATTGCAGTGTAAAAGAGCATCATTATTTGAAGACTGAATGGTGTAGCTAACCATGGGATCATAACACTGAATGACTGAAAGTATTTTTATCCCAGCAATTGCATTAATGCAGATCAAAGTAGTTTTGACATTGTGTTATTAAATATAAAATAAAGTCAAGTTCAGTTCAAGATTTACTCTAATAACATTTCAGAAGCACTTTCTACACTGAGGCTGYGCTGCCAGTGCCCTCAGACATGCTGCAGAAATAGCAAAGAAATGGCTGCTCTAGGAAYCCCTTTTTCATTCTTGTTTGAAGTGAAAGAAAAATATCTGAGGGGTTATGACTGTGATTTTCAGTTAGATAAAGAGTTGTTCATTCTKCATGCAATAAAATTGTGCATGCAAGACAATGTGCTAAGCCTCAGACTTTATTTATAACCAGACATCAATATACCTCTGTATATGCAGAAGCATTAGCAGTGTATCATGTGCTGTTTCAATGAGATGAAAACCTCCTCTCTTTTTTTTGTTTTTATTTTGGTGGTGTTTTTAAGGAGCAGGAATGCTCAGTACTTTAGATTTTTATACAAATATGTATTCCTTTGAATTGTCCTGATTAATRTTATAATGCTTTTGGTGCAGTGTAGCTCGAAAGAGGCAGATTTTGCAAACACTCAGGAAATGGTAAGCAATAATTTATTATACTGTCATCATTATATTTTCATATCCATCACACTTCTTTTTCCCTATTTATTCAACCCACTGTCCTTTAACAAGAATAAGAAAGCCTGGAATAGCAATAATGTTGTAAAAGGAAAGATTCATTATTTGAGTCATTTCACTTCGACCTCTTGTCTTTGCATGCATATATGCCTGTGTATGCTAAAAAGAGTCCATAAACAGCTCATTGTCAAGACAGAGCAAAACCACAAAGATTTTTCTCCCTTGCATTTAAATTGTTAGGCTTCTTTTGGAGCAATGCATTAAATCATAAGCACATCCTGAGCTCTAATTTGCTCTTATTTGAAGGCAATCTACTAAAACTCAAATCCAGGCTGAGCAGTCTATGAAAGACCACTGGGCATAAAAATGAGACAGTAAGCAGCAGCCTTTCTTTATACTGTTTGTATTTCAGCACAGCCACAGCAACTCTGCTGCATTTAGCCAGTTTTATTCCAGAGAACATGCAGATAGTCTGATAGTATTAGATTTTCCAAAAATGAATGTTGTCACTCAAAAGGACTCTCTGCTGTAGAAAGCTCAGAAAAAGGCTACTGTATTTATCTTATTTCAAAAYTATGAGCAGAGAATGTGCAGTCTAGCAAATCTATTTACAAGAGTAGTCTCCAAGTGTGCCTCCTGAATGAAATGCTCCTTTATTTCAGARAAGAGCCCTGTGCAAGTGATTGGTGATATTTGTGAGGTGGAGGATGATGTTGTTCCTTGCTGGTCTTCAGATTCCAAACTGTCCCAKCCTAGAGCTGCAGGATTAATTCTGAGCAGAGTCAGCCCTTATTTCATAGTCCCCACAGCCTCCTGTTCACAGTTCACAGATACACTGAGCGCTGCTGACCCCTGAAGGCTGGACTCGCTGTGTGTTTCTAGCCTGTAAACAGGGASCATTGATAAAGCATTCAAAAACATACAGTATTTTGGATGAGATGAAATGAAGGACCTTTGTATTACTTCTAAAAATTTTCTTCATAACCTTCTCCATCACAGGTCTGCTGCTGGGGTCTCTCTTAAAACATGGTGCACAAGATACATGCAAATCTGTAACTCCCTTGCTTTTTGTTATGTTTGGAGTTTGGAGCTGCATGGTAGTTGTTTATTTGTATACCAGACCTCRGATAATTTTCCAGAGAAAATGAAGCAAGTGATTTGGAGTTTATTGATCAGCTCCATCTCCTGTGCATCATGCCAGAGTGACTGGGTCAATTTCTCACTCATGCAGCCAAGCAGCCTGACTCTTTGGCTTCTCATTTATAAATCTTCAAGGAAGTCAGTGAAGTTCACTACATTTGATGCAGATCAAGCTTTTACTTAGATCAGCACTCTACCTGAGGCACAAATAAGGCATCACAGAGCTAAGCAGAAACATCCTTCACTATCTTTGTGCTCTTGTGTTTTTGTATTAACTTCACATTTCAGTACCATTTAGAGAAACAAAAGGGGATTATTTTTCTGGAGAAGAAATAAATTAGACTTGTATCATTTGTATCACATTTGYCTTTGTGAAACAAGGAACGGAAAGTAAACAGCCCATGTAGGATGAAAGGGCTTGATGGGATTAGAACTCAGACTGATTCTGGAAAATTAGACTTAAAAAATGAAATCTTTAACAATGTAAGGATATGTGTGAATATTTAACTGTCCAATAAAAGATAGGGGACAAGGGACGGGGGAGAAAAATCTGTGAAATAAAGTCTGACCACCTAAATACTGCATTTAGCAACTTTTGCTTGCCAAGGCTGTCTCCCTCTACCTTCTTCCTCTTCTTCCCTCATCCTTTGTGTCTTGACACTTCTGTTTCAGCTCTCTTCTCTGTGGGTCTGAGGGACTCAGAAGGTTGGGGAGGGAGCAGTGAGGGTGGTCTTGAAGGCAAGGGACGGGTCAAGCACGGTGCTGCTTGTCCTGGATCTGCTTTTTCCTCACAAAGCTACAGCACTCCCTGGAGTGGGAGCTCCAGGGTGGACCTGACTCCAGGAGTTTGTTAGTGAGTTCTGTGTGTCTCACTTCCCACTGCTGACCCCAAGTTGCCCAAGAGTCAAAAGTGTCCTAACCTGTCTGGAAAAAGTCCCTGCCCTTGTGCTGGTTGCGGGAGGAGGTGGGTATTCAGAGCTGGGGGCTGGTCTCTAAAGACAACATTTCACATTCAGAAGCCCCAGCTGTAGTTGTGCAATTTGTTGGCTTAGTCTGGGTATCCTCACAGAGGAATCCTTCCCTCTTTAAACCTCTTTAAAAATTGCCTTTTCCTTTAACCTTCTCAGTTCTAGAGCAAAAATGGTCTGGAGCAAGACCTAGACAGCTATTGGACRTGAGTCTCACTTGGCTACAAATTARAAAATTCCTCCCTACCATTATCACTTAAAGCCATTATTTCTCTTTTTTTTTCATGTTTTTCTTGATTGAGTTGACTTAGAAACATTAAATTGTGTTCTAGAAGGCACTGAGGTATTTTCATATTTTTTTCTCATTACATTATTTTGTACTCTAAGGACATAATCATTCCCAGCAAACAGTGTAGAAATACTTGAAACAGAAGGCAGATAAATAATCATTTTACAGAATTCCGCATTTCCTCCCAAAGTTCTTCCAATGTCATAATTCYGGAAAGGAATGTTAACAAGATTGGATCCCCTGTTTTACAACTTCATTTGCGTGGACATCTAGTGAAACAGTCTAGGAACTCATTCAGGAACATATTTCAACAATAAAGGCGAATGTTTGGAATTAAAATTCCCAACTCTACGTCTAATTTCATTTTAATGAAACAGTTAAAAAATATTGGATTCCATTTGCTAATTACAAACATTTGTTTAAGTTTATTGTAAAAAGCATGAATTTGTTTTACGTTTCTAACAGTAAAATACTTTTGGTTAATTCTAAATGAAATCCATATTTGGCAACTTTTGTGTCAAAATACGTATCAATATGTTAAATCCTAAGTAATTTGGGCTTGTTTAAAATGAAGTTTTTTGGATGAGGAAGCCATAAAAAATTATTGGAGTGGAGGAGGGAGAAATTTTGAGTTTGGATCCATATATGGAATTCAAATTCCATATTTGGAATTTGAAATATCTTTCTGCTAAACACCCTGTATATAGGTCACCACTCCTATGATCAAAAAGAGAGCATTGGTCACAAATGGGGATAGGATACCATAATAAAATTTAATTACTTTCCCATGGAAAGAATATTGACCAGTCAAAGTTTGCTCAAATTCTCGGCTTATCCTGTTTGATACTTGCCTATTAAGCTCAGAATAAAAAAAAAAATAAAAAGAAGGAAGAAAATCAGAAAATGAAAATGGGATAAATAATAATTTGATCCTGATATTTGCACTCACTGATATTACTCTGAATTAAGTGACTGGCTCCCTGTACTTTACCAGACTTAYTTGTGCCAGTAGTGCAACAGGCAACTTAAGGGTTTATTTAAATAAGTCAATAAATAAATGCCCTTCGTAGTTAACATGATCACAAAAAGATGCGCCAGTGGGAATACAGATTCAGAAAGATCATAAGCAATGATTAATTCTAAGCTGAAGCCAGTGTGGAAGCTCCATGAGTCTGCTGCTGTGCTTCTGGTTTAGCTTGTCACATCTTTCACAGAATAGATAATTCATTTCTGTATCCAGGACAAAATATTCTTCCTTGAAACCCCATATAATATTTCTAATGTGACAGCAGGAGTGATAATGGCACATCTATACCTTTCCTGCTATTAGATGATTCACAGAAGGAATCCCAGTAATTTTTTGGGAGTACAAAAGGARAGGAATGGGGTGGAGTGGCGTGTCTTGGTTAATAAAGTGGTTGAACATGAAATAGATCTCATGACAAAGAAAGAAAGACTTAATCGTGGATGTTTTATCAGTTCTTCTGCTACTCTCTCTCATTTCAGTTTTGATTGCCTGTCTAKGCTAGACAGCAAAGACTTTTTATAAATACAACCCATCTGCAAAACACATGGCAATCTCTATGTTGAAACCTCTATTTCTGAAGTTCTGACAGAAAACTATTTTCTGCATTTTGCTCAAGGCATACTATCCTCATAAAATTATCCACCAGAGGCTCATCTTTCAGGAGAGAAGTAATTAAGTCCTAGCTTCTAATTAGATAAAACTTGCTAAAATCTTTACCATTTCTTCTCCAGCTTCACATAATCAGGGAATTTAAGAGATTATCTGTGCACAAATTTTTTTTTTTTTTTTTTTTTTTTTTTTTTACTTTGAAAGGCTTTACAATTTTTAAAAAGCAGCATAAAATGACAGCATGTTAAAAAGAGAGATTATGTCTTGGTGCATCTTGAGACATGGAGTATCTCAGTAATTTTATGTGGGGAGGAGGAATGCTTTCTGTTTAATAAAGGTGCCTGAGAATCCAGTAACCCTCAATCTGGTGCTTAATTCACAGGACTTGACCTGTCCWTCAGCAAGGTTTGAGGAAGAAGGGAAGGTGGCRTGATAGACAAGTTGTTAYGAATGGAGATGGGAGCTTAGATGGATTTCAGTGTTTCTAGAAAGCAGGGTGGTAGGCAGGAGCATTCTGCTTCTCCCAGCACTCAGAGCAGAACAAAACATAGTGAAGGATACAAAAAAAAGCAAAGTGGGAGTCAGATAGCTTGGCAATAAGGACAGGGTGTTCTTGGGCTCAGGAGGCATATTTGGACGATCAGTTTCACAGGCAGCACTGGCTGCTCCAGGGGCACACAGAGTTTCTAATTAAAAGATTCTTTCTGACATTTRCATCAAACCAAGAGCTTTTTCTCCCTTCAGCATCCTGTCACACCTTCCAAAACCCTAAACACTTACTGCTGAAGTCTTGCCCACCCAATCTCTTTTCCTCCAGGGTGGAAACCTTGCAGGTTTTCAAGTCTGAGATGCACCTGCTGAAGGCAGCAGAGTCACAGGGAGCCTGGGGGCCGCAGCCAGAGCTGCCAAACCTGACCCAGATATCCCA